TTACTTTGTTGAATGAGTTGATAGTCTTATTTATTAAAGGTCCCCTATTATGTCACCAGGTGCACAGCTAATTAGTTATTACAGGCCATTTCAAAATCTTTTCTCTCTTGACATCAAATGGGGAAGTGACCAACCAGAGGCAAGAAGAACTGATCACCTTCAGCCAAGTATTCAATCAGATTTCAATATTCTGGGTGGTCACTCCCCCTTGTGATGTCAGATAGAGGAGACTTTGAACTGGCTCATAATGGCTACTGTGCACCTGGTGGCATAATAGGGTACCTTTAAGATAGCATGCTTGATTGTCGAATATTGAAATTTAAATGGCCATAGAATAGCATAGATTTGCATGAGCACGAGTGCACAATTTTTTGTGGGCTTACGTTAGGCCATTTTGCGCAGTTGCTACACTGTTATGAACTTGCACCTTTTTTGACAGTTAATTTAACTGGCACCCTTTTTTGCCAATTATTTAAACTAGAATTTTACAATAAGTTTACAACAGAGTTCCATGTATGTTAAGTGTAAACCACAGTTAAATGCGCGCAGGACTCCACTTACAGTTAAAATAACCAGGAAACAATGCGTTAATTTAACTGTTAAATTCAGTCAGTTTATAACAGTGTAGAATTCATGTTGCAGAGTGGTAAATATGTTCCAGTCCCAACTTCACTGGGCAGTGTTCACACTTCAAAATAGCTATTATTTTTCAAAAAAAAAAAAAAAATTAAGTTGATGAGTTAAAAAAACTTAAAACTTATTATTTCATTTAACTTTTTTCAATTGAATTCAGGTAAAAGGAGATTTGCAAATTACTGCTTGCTGTTTTTATTTATACTTTACACATTGTCCCAGTTCCTCTGGAATGGAGGTAGTGCAACGTTCTAGGTGTGCATGGGATATCGGGAAAATCTCTAACATTCAAGTTTGGTGCGTATGATTTTATATTAAAACTGTATGTGGATGGAATGTCACGTTGGACACAACTTGTTTAAATCAACATAATAATTAAAAAATTTACTAAGACATCAAATCGATCATGCAGCAAAGTTCTAGAATAGATTATGTAAAGATAACAAATGTTTTCTTCTTATACAAAAAATTGTGTTCTGAAATTTTAATTTATGATATCAGCACCGATCTAGCCTTTGAGACTGGCTTCTGAATGCCAAATTTAAAAACCCCTTCAGTAGTGGACTGCGGGGTAGTTAGTGAACTTGTGATTGTCACCTTGGGGAGAGATGCCCGAGAGCCGGAGCTCTGTGTGGTCATAGTCAGGACTGTGGTGATCCCCAGTCCGACTCGGGCTGGTGCGGCATCCATGTTGATCCAGAAGGACACCCAGGACAGGATGACAATAAGCAGGCTGGGGATGTACATCTGGATCAGGTAATAACCCATCTGCCTTTCCAGATGGAACTTCACCTCAATACAGGTGAATTTACCTGCAAACAGCAAAGCCAGAGAAGCATTTAGAGCTGTAGCAGATCTCCAGATGGGGAACATCTTATGCTTATGCATATTAAGATTGTAAACCCAAAAAGTTTGAAAACATTGCCATTCATGTCCAGTAAATTCTGTACATCTGATGAGCTCTTTTTATACTAAAGCGAGAAACACATTCAAAAGGCAATACACAGGCAAAAAAATAATAAAATTTCTAAAAAAAAAGTAAGCATAGTTTGATGCTCCCAAGGTAAATTTATTGGGAATCCCTCAAAGGCTCTCTTTGACATTGTGGGTCTAGATGGAAATTTTTAGATTCGTCTGGTCAAAATGTTGTCTTGTGGTGCTGCTTGTAAATATATCTTGGGAGCATTGATCTGTGTGTGTGGGATATTTCTTTGCTTTCTTAATCCATAAACGCACCTGTGTTGTAATGTTTTGTGCAGTAGCCCAGGTCCTTCTCTTCTTTCAAAACAAACTGTGGGAGCATGAGGTCATCTGCTACCTGCACAGGCGCCTTTTCCAGCCACTCAAAAATCAGGTCATTCATGGTGTAGCCAACTGTGGATAGGGTGGGATTGGGAGGGAGAAAAACAGACAGATTCTTTACTGCGACTACAACTCCCTTACCGTCTTCAGACTTCGTCATGGTGAAAGGTCACCTGTCTACAGCTTCAATAGGGCCCAAGTTCAGAATCAAGGACAAACGTGATGAGCATGTTTTGTCCGAGATTCTTGCAAACAGATACATCCAGGCGACTGAGACCTACGGATGTAAGCGCAGTGGAAGAATCATGCCTGAAGATCTGTCATTGCAGCCCAGAATTCCTCAGACAAATGTCTTTATTTACCAGGAAGCCAAGACAGGGTAACTGAAATAATAGCAATAATTTTACCTAAATCTTCCCTGTGTCTTCCCTCCCCCCCTCATACTCCTCTATCTCTGATCATTCAATTCATCTCAGTGAAGTGAGATTAGAGACCCATTAAACATGCATGAAGCATGCAATAACACGGCAGAATGCCTGACACGTTTGAATAATACTGATGCCTATCTTAGTCCCTTGAGGGCGGGAGTTACAAAGGCATCAATAATTCAATATATTACCCACCCCCATGCACATATTAACCAGTGGCCAGCAAACAACAAAACCATTAAACATAACATATCTTGTTCATGAAGAGGGATTATGTCCCTCCATGTCCCATTTTTCTTGGAAATGAACATATCAGTAAGAGGGAATATTGTTTCATTATGGATATGCATGAGTGTTGGACAAAAACAAATACAAATATGGTGGAATCTACAACAGGATTGGAACATAATTGCACTGTACACTGTTCAAAACGATATAAAAGGGCTTCTCCAGTTCATCTATCTATTAACTCTTATCTATTAACTTCTCATTATTTGTCTGCCAAATTTAAATTAATCGCTTGTGAAAAAGGAAATATAATGTTCCAATTAATGTAATTCAATTTCTGCTTTTTCATCTTCAAAAATAGGTGTGAGTAAATCTACCTTTGTTGCTTATGTGTGTATTCAGTCTTGATTCCAAGACCTGTCCTTGGGTCTTGAGCAAATTATGATGACTCAAATGAGGCCCAGAGTCAGATGTAAAATTGCGCTACAGAGAAAATGAAACTTTGTGTGACCTTCAACCCTCTAAAGGTTGATCTGAAGGGTGAGACATATTTTACAATTGAAAACACATTGTAATATTGTACTTCTGGCCGTCCTTGCTTGCAAATTCAGCATGGTTGTATAGTAACTTGATTTTAGTCAGCATTACAGTGAAATAGTAGCAATTATGGATGGAAGACCACTCCAAGCTGTTGAGCAATAAGAGTATTAATTTTGTAGGTTTTGTTTTGGAGCATAACTAGATTAACTCAATTTGAACTTGCACAAAATTGTAAATAAATAAATAAATCAATGCATTCCAGAACAAATAATGTGGGTCATGGTCCAGCTTGTATTTTTTGTTATTGTGGCAACTCTAGTTCCCTTTTCTGGGTCGGTGTCCTCTGGATTTCTGTGATAGACTGTTAATGCAGGAAAAGCACAGCCAGCAGATTAAGCATTTTGTGGAGCTCTTGCTGATTATGCATAGATTATGGATCTAAATGAAGGTCTCTCAGGCCCACATACCATCTCTTACCATCACATTTATCAAGTAACAGACCGGAATTACTGTGTCTACTTAACGTTTTATAATCCGAACAGGGCCATGACACCGGACGATGATACTAGCATTTGCAACAAGTTACAATATAGATGCGTTATTTTGACATGTAGGAAAAAGTGTTTATATTATGCTCGCTTTAGGCCATTTGCAAAAATGTGTTTTACCACTTCAGGATATATATTGCTCACAAAAAGTAGGGGATATTCAAATTCAACTAACTGAGGAAAGCACCTGAACCTTAGATGTTTGTGAGATTTTTGAGTATGTTTGTGGTTAGCCATAGGCACATTTCAGTCCATATTCCATAAACCGCTAGGTTTCAGAGTTTGCAAAAACAGGGCGCACAAACGGGCGCCTGTCAGGACTTGGTACAGCTGGGCGCAGCACCTCAGGAGGAGTGGCAGAGAATTCCTCAAGCTGACATTGGTCGTCTCATTAGGAGCAGGCAGCGTTGGTGTGATGCTTGCTTGGACGCTAATGGCAGACCTACTCATTACTGTACACTATGCAACTTTTGGGGTACCACCCCATGTGACATTTTGTACCCCCAGAGAAAATTCTCAATAACTTAAGTGATGATAAAGTGTCATGAACTTCATCTTGAATTGCTCGCCAATTAAGCCCTTAAGCCCTGAGCCTATTTTTCGAAAATGGCAAGCCCAAAATGAAATGAGTATCTCTGCAACTATTTGGTCCATTTGAATGATCTTGGTATCATAATAAAGGTAAAACCATTTGGGATTTCTGCCATGGTGTAAAAATCAGGCTATATGTCACTGAGTCAGAGTAAATGAAGATGGAATACAGTATGAATCAAACACCTCATTTTGCACCAAACAAAGTTTTACTTCTATCCCTTGTAAAATTAATTAGTTGGAGTCTGAAACCTCGAAAAATTTACAAGACAGAATCTCACCATTATCTATGCCAAAGTTTATTCTAATCATGTAAATCAGAACAAAATTAGAGAGGAATGTCTAGGTGGCTTCTCCAAATTGGCAATTCAGGTACCTTGTGTGCCAAATCAGATTTCTCAGATATTAAACTGTTAAACTCATCTAATTTCACTTATATGCCACTACAGGCATACAATCCACCCAAATACAACCAGTTTTAAATTTTTAGAATTTATCATTTTTTTTATTATTATTTCTGCCAGTCCTATAGCTTATACAATTTCCCATTCAAAGACAATAAATACAAAGAAAATGAAGTTTGGCTCCACTGGAGCAGATTTATTTTTAAAAAAAGCTAATTAATAAGATTATGAATGCAAAAAGGGTTAAAAAATGGGGAAAAAAAGTCAAAAAACCCCAGCAATTTTTTATACAAGCAAAATGGTACTATTGTCTTACTAAAGCAGGCCTGACCAGAGACTCGAACGCTGGTCGTTTGCGCTGTAGCCCTACACGCTAACCACTAGGCTATGCCATTTGACCGTGCTGCGGTTCTCAAATTACCTATTTAAAGAATGAGTCAAAAAAACAAGTCACTCACCTTGTTTGTACTGTTGTGCCCTCGGTATTCACGCGTTTCTCTCAGAAAACAACTTTGAAAACGACGGTTGAATATTTAGCGGATAATTATACCGAAGATACCACAAACAAACCTGTTAAGCGTTTATATTGTCGAGCTATTTAAGTACATTCAATGGCCCATGGACTTGGTTTGACGCAGTGGGAACGCAAGGCTCTAGCTCAGGCTAGCTTAGTGCGATAAAGGTGCTTTAGAGCTCGCTGGAAACGGCAGAAGCCATAGAATCAAATTTTTTGCTACCGGCAAAGTCTTACTGACAGCATCACAAGCCGATCACAGAGAGGAAAATACATTGCAAGCAAACTGAATGCTGAGGAACTGAGATCTTTCAAGCAATGCTCGAGAAGAAAAACATGCTTTGAGACTCGCAGATCTAGTTTCATTATAACACGGACACATTGAGCTAAAAATAGCAAGCGTGGATTTACCCTCAAACTGTTTTTTTATTACAAAATATCAAAGGTAAGACATTTCTTTGCTCATCTCTGCTCATTAAAACAGAATACAATGATTTGCAAATCTCATAAACCCACATTTTATTCACAATAGAACATATACGACATATCAGATGTTGAAAGTGAGACATTTTACCATTTCATGAAAAATATTAGCTCATTTTGAATTTGATGGCAGCAACACATCTCGAAAAAGTTGGGAGAGGGGCAACAAAAGGCCAGAAAAGTAAGTGGTACTAATAAAAAACAGCTGAAGGAGCATTTTCAAGTAATTAGGTTAATTGGCAACAGGTCAGTAACATGACTGAGCATCCAATATTGACCTTTGGACCTGTCCCTTGCATGCAGAGACTTCTCCAGATTCCCTGAATCTTTTGATGATATTATGTACTGTTCAAAGTCTTCGCAATTTTACATTGAAGAATGAGTTTTAATTAAATTGTTCCACAATGTTTAGATTGGTGAATCTCTGTCCATCTTTATTTCTGAGAGATTCTGCCTCTCTAAAATACTCTTTTCATACCCAGTCATGTTACTAACCTGTTTCCAATTGACCTAATTAGTGGCAAAATCCTCCTCCAGCTGTTTTTTATTTAGTACCGCTTACTTTTCCAGCTTTTTGCTGCCCCTCTCCCAACTTTTTGAGATGTGTTGCTGCCATCAAATTCAAAATTAGCTAATATTTTTCATGAAATGGTAAAATGTCTCACTTTCAACATCTGATAAGTTGTCCATGTTCTATTGTGAATAAAATATCAGTTTATGAGATTTGCAAATCATTGCATTCTGTTTTTATACACATTTTGCGCAGCATCCCAACTTTTTTTGGAATTGGGGTTGTATTTTGACAATTATCCTCACTGGAGGCCACACAGTACGAGAGGACAATTACAGCTAATTGTTTTCGCGGCACGATGCTCTCTTTTTGTTAGCATATACGTATGTGGCCATGCATCAGTAGTTCGATGTAATCCTGAGAACATAAAATCCCTTAACCTGGTCAGATTTGGATAATGTCAACCAAAAATGTCAATATACGGATCATGGTCCATTTTAAAATTCTTTAAACTCCGGTATCATTTTACATTGGATTGTATGTTTTTAAACTAATTTTTGTGTTTACATCATGCAGTGCTGCACATATTTTTTACGGAGCCAATGAATCTTTTCCATATTTGTGAGAATGTTCTTTTGAAAATGTTTTAACATACCACGGCCTTGGTTGTGGTGAATACCTTCTTCCACAAACAGAAGGTCAGTGGCATGATTAACATGGGCATTATTTTATTGCCACTTGCAGTGAACAAACAGCAGGAGTCATAACTAGCATACATATGGGGTACAAGCAACATCCTTCATGAATGAACATCTCTACTTCAAACATGGAGGACTAGTCTCTTGGGGGTGGGCACAGAAAGGCACTAAAAACAGAATTTGACTTCTGACAGGCCTTAAAGGAACTGTGTAACGATTACAGCACATCCTCAGAACTTTGAAAAAACGCTCACAGCTGCTGGCTGCTTATGGGCATTTTCCTGTCAAAATGACTGGGAGGTCTACCGAACTGGAAGCATGCAGCTTAGATAGTGAATGATTTGGAAGCTGCTACTAAATATTAAGTCAAAGTTGTGGACAAATGCAGATCTCCATAATAACCTTTCATTTCACACACAAATTTTGCTACTTAACTCGCTTCATTTAAATAACATCATCAGAAAATTAGCCGATTTACTCGCTATTTTTCCCTACGTGGCTATCGCGGCTAAGCTACATAGTTAGCTATACAGATATCCACAAAAACCTTTTATTTCATGTGAAGCATTGTTAGTGAAACTAGCTAGCCAGCTAGTTAAATTTTTTCTTCATTTGAATAAAATCATCAGACAACAAGCCAGATAGCAAGATAATGTTAGCTACGTAGCTGTCGTGGCTATGCTAGGTTGCCAACTATGCAGAAGAGATATTCTTCCTGTATGATATTTATATGGAGGTTGCCAAACAAGCTTATATTCCTGTTAGCCTTCCGTTAAATGGCTAAATTAGCATTTTGAACCTTTGAATTTCCATAGAATACTCCTTAATATAGAAAGCATAATGCCTGAGTGTCTAAAATATATAGATACAATGAAAAAACGAAGATGGACTGGGCAAGGATGGAATCACACAGTGAAACTGTGGAATATGTGACATTTTTATAATCTAAAAACTAGCGTGTAATAGCCAAATACTTGGTGATTATTTTTGTAAATAAGTTTTCTCATTCAAAACACTGATGTTTATTGGATGTTGCGGTCGAGGTTTTTCAGATTAGTTGAATACAGTTTAAAACTGAATCTAAACATTGGGAAATGTTTAAAAAATAGCGCACTGTCGCGAGTGGGACCCCTCAGGCTTGCGCTTTATTGGCGGCCATATTGATTATCGGAGCAGGACACAAATCAATAGAGAGCTCCCTGTAAGCACCCCTAACATACCACCAAAAAATGAGCACATTTGGCCAAGGGGTTTTTCAGTTATCGTCCGGAAAGGAAAATGAAGATGGCTGCCGTGGCGGCCATATTGATTATCGGAGCGGGACACAAATCGATAGGGAGCTTCCTCTAACCACCCCCAACATACCATCAAAAAATGAGAACATTCGGCCAAGGCGTTTTCCTGCTATCGCCCGGAAATGAAAAGTTAACGGACAGACGGACGGACAGACGGACACCGCGGGCCACGACAATACCCCTCGACCGACTTTCTTTGGCTGAGGGGTAATAAAAAGTCTTATACAAAAGTGTTTAGAAATTAAACATTTGGTTTTACAGTGAAGATTATGACTTGTAGTCAAGCAGAATCGCTTTCTTGGGATGTAACTTCTGAGCATGAGCAGTAACCGTGACATATCTCCTTTAAGGCTGATTCTAAACCTGAGTGAAGGAGCCAGCAGGGCCTCTCGGTCAAAAGATGAAATGGTTCTTCCACCTCAGCCACTCTTACTATTGGTTACAATTTACTTACCTCACGCTTCTCTAATTTTTTTCCAAACTTTTTTGTCTCCAAGAATATATTGAGGAAAAAATCTCCTGCAAGGTATAGAGCTGGGACAAATAATACAAGCGCACAAAATGAAAGTTTCATTATTGATATCCTGGAGATTGGTGGAGAGAATGGAGATGCTTTCAAGATCAGAGGAGGTGCAAAAGATCATTGGCCATAGGGAGAGGATTTCTTCATTTCTCATGTAATTCTCATCCAGTTAATAAAGTTAGCAATATTATGCTCTCTTTTGGACTATGTTATACCTCAATTATTTCTTCAGTCACAGGTGCGCAATATGCCTGTGGTCACTTTGTTAGCTGATTTCATGGTTTTAAGGACACCTCTGCCTCACTCAGCCATTCATTTCTAAGATTGTGGTATTGGTAAAGTAATTTGTTATTTCTGGAGCAGGTCATATTTTTTGCAGTTGACACATATTGAAAGGACTTTTTAGCCATTTGACACGTGTGGTTTTCCCTTGTATTTTCATCAGTCACACGAAGAATGATTTTTCGATGATTGTAGACTTCAATCAGAACAATGCAAAGAGGGTGAAATGGGTAAAGGCAGAGAAAAAAGAAAAAGTAAACGACTCACAGCTTTCTAGTTGCATGGAGCATGTCTGGATGTCCATTGGGAAATTCTTCAAGTCCATGGGACAGGAAAGGATCAGAGTGAGCCTGAGACAGACAGACAGACAGGCAGCAGAAGCAATACAGAGAAAATAGTGTAGCAGAAGGGAGGAGGAGGTGCATTTTAAGAGAGACACAAGAGAAAGAGGCAGAAAGTTACAACATACTGAAAGAAAGTCAGAGCAGCAGAAGGGGGAGAGATGCAGGGTGCAGTAATGGAGGAAAAAAATGCAGCACAGAATTTTGATTTTAGATTACTCAGACATATCATTTGACACCAGCTCTGGCCAGGAAGACAATACCACTGTTTATCTGACATAAAAACAGATGGTGAAAAAGGTTTCCCTGTTTCCATCTCCTAATTACAGGGACTGCAAACTGCACTGGCAAAGGTTACTTGTGAAAATGAATAAATCATATATTAATAAAAGAATGCAGAAGCCTTCCGAGGAACGAACCAGAAAAGTCCCAGATATTTATGAGTGAGGGCAGAAGATGTGGTGCTATTATCTACAGTAATGCATTGCTTAATGGAAACAAGGAACACATGAGCAGGACCCAACAGTATGTCTTTGAACAGTCATAATATCACATCAACGTCTTTCTCTTTTCTTACCCTTTGGATAAAAATTGATCGAAATTTCACATTTTGATTTTGTCTCAAAAAAATCTAATTTCTTTTGGGGTTTCTGTCCTGGTTTGACCATGGCAAATGGATAGCAGTTATCAGTTTTGGGTGTGTATTATTTGATTGATAGTTTACTGAATGGGCCTGTGAGAGAATC